TACACATTTTATCACCAAAATCCTGGAACGGTATTCTAAAGCCGACGCAAACTTTTAATGTGAATTTTTCAAAAACATTTATAAACGCAAATCTTCCTCCAGCTTTTTTTACTGTAATTAAGCAAAATATAATCCTCTGTATGCGATAATTATATAACAAACTGTTTGCTTTCTTCTCATTTATCGCAGGTCGCTGAGCAATGTATTTATTTGCGGCTAAACAGTAAATTTGCACACATACATACATATCTGTATGTAAGCACGTAGCTTTGCGCACACGTTTATAAGTGCGTGCAGAATAAAATTCCAGCATACACTCGTTTATACCCCCGAGGAAAGCTGAGAGTAGTGCAACGTGCAGTGAGCGGCAGTAGAAACACATCGCCGTAGAAACACACTGCCTAATGAACACACCAACGAAAGGCAGCGTGTGTGGAGCGGGGTAAGTGAAATGAACTTTCGTAATGATATCGCATAGCCGAGTGGCTTGGACACTTGATTTAATTACGTGGCAATGCTGTGCTGCGCTTGCACACATAATATTCATTATAACACTATTGCCGCACACCTCACTATTGCCCCTCCTTGCCAATTGGCCTTTCGATTCACAAGTTTATTAGTTTTTTTTTGTTTTTTTTGTTTGCGCCACTATCGCAATGCCGCAAATGACGTGCAAAATGATGTGTATTGAAATGACGACAGACGGCTGACGACAGACAGTTGAACTGACAGTAGAGTGCGGATGCAAACAACGGCATAAAAATGTGTAATCGAGCGTTTGGTGGGTGCATGCCGACAGGCAATACGCGTCAGTGATACGCTGACAGCCGGATGTGCTTTGTGGCTTTGACATGCATACACAGATAATATGACAGTTTACAGTTATAACTATATTTTAGTAGCACCCATATAAGAAGTGTTTGCAGAAGAATAAATAACACTAATGACGTTTCCAGCGATTAAAACGCGTTTAAGATTCTTCGTACCCTAAACAGGGTATCTGATATACTTGTTTATAATAGAGAGAAACGTCGAATACACTATAAAGCAGATACTTATATTATATTATGCATCCTTTCTCCCCAAGAAGCTGCACATTTGTCGGTACCGCCGATATCGGACTCCAATAAAATATAGCTGCTATATAAGCTGATCCATCAAAATGAAATTCTTCTATAGAATCCTTTTTTATTTGACACGATATCGTGGCATAGATTGTTGTTCATAGTAATATCACAATATTCGAAGAAATTCTTTAGTTTTCCGATCACTATAGCTTATAGATGTCATGTAAGAAATGCAGCTATGTAGGGTATTCGATGCAGTCGAAGCTAACGCTTTTTTTTTTGTTTTTATCAATGATATCCTTTGATTTTTTAAAAACTTTTCCTATTAAAAAATTTTTCAACACTAATTTTTTACAAAAACAACAATCGTCTCAAATAGCATAAGCAGCATCACAAGTCAATATGGCAGCCGAATTACACAACAACAACTTGTATCAGAGAACATAAAATAGTTCTTATACGTTCTCTGCTTCTGGCTCAGGTGACTTACACGCTTTGATATGACATAGTTTAAAAGTCATGAGAGGACCTCGCGGGAGGCTGGCTGCCAGCTGGCTCTATATAAGTAGAGCAGGCACCGCGCCAGCCAGTGCTTAGGTGACTCTCGCGACTCGATGTGACTTGTTTTAAAAGTCATGAGGTGACCTCACGGGAAGCTGGCTGCCTGCTAGCTCTATATAAGTAAAGCAGGCACCGCGCCAGCCAGTGCTTGGGTAACTCACACGTCGCGATGTGATTCGTTTTAATAGTCATGAGGTGACCTCACGGGAAGCTGGCTGCCTGCTGGCTCCATATAAGTAAAGCAGGCACCGCGGTAGCCAGTGCTTGGGTGACTCACACGTCGCGATGTGATTCGTTTTAATAGTCATGAGGTGACCTCACGGGAAGCTGGCTGCCTGCTGGCTCTATTAAGTAAAGCGCACCGCGGTAGCCAGTGCTTGGGTGACTCACACGTCGCGATGTGATTTGTTTTAGACGTCATGAGGTGACCTCACGGGAGCTGGCTCCAGCTGGCTCATATAAGTAAATGCAGGCACCGCGGTAGCCAGTGCTTGGTGACTCACACGTCGCGATGTGATTTGTTTTAGACGTCATGAGGTGACCTCACGGGAAGCTGGCTGCCTGCTGGCTCTATATAAGTAATGCAGGCACCGCGGTAGCCAGTGCTTGGGTGACTCACACGTCGCGATGTGATTTGTTTTAGACGTCATGAGGTGACCTCACGGGAAGCTGGCTGCCTGCTGGCTCTATATAAGTAAAGCAGGCACCGCGGTAGCCAGTGCTTGGGTAACTCACACGTCGCGATGTGATTCGTTTTAATAGTCATGAGGTGACCTCACGGGAACTGGTGCCTGCTGGCTCTATATAAGTAAAGCAGGCACCGCGTAGCCAGTGCTTGGGTGACTCACACGTCGCGATGTGATTCGTTTTAATAGTCATGAGGTGACTCACGGGAGCTGGCTGCCTGCTGGCTCTATATAAGTAAAGCAGGCACGCGGTGGTAGCCAGTGCTTGGGTAACTCACACGTCGCGATGTGATTCGTTTTAATAGTCATGAGGTGACCTCACGGGAAGCTGGCTGCCTGCTGGCTCCATATAAGTAAAGCAGGCACCGCGCCAGCCAGTGCTTGGGTAACTCACACGTCGCGATGTGATTCGTTTTAATAGTCATGAGGTGACCTCACGGGAAGCTGGCTGCCTGCTAGCTCTATATAAGGAAAGCAGGCACCGCGCCAGCCAGTGCTTAGGCGACTCACACGTCGCGATGTGATTTGTTTTAGACGTCATGAGGTGACCTCACGGGAAGCTGGCTACCAGCTGGCTCTATATAAGTAATGCAGGCACCGCGGTAGCCAGTGCTTGGGTGACTCACACGTCGCGATGTGATTTGTTTTAGACGTCATGAGGTGACCTCACGGGAAGGCTGGCTGCCTGCTGGCTCTATATAAGTAAAGCAGGCACCGCGGTAGCCAGTGCTTGGGTAACCACACGTCGCGATGTGATTCGTTTTAATAGTCATGAGGTGACCTCACGGGAAGCTGGCTGCCTGCTGGCTCTATATAAGTAAAGCAGGCACCGCGGTAGCCAGTGCTTGGGTGACTCACACGTCGCGATGTGATTCGTTTTAATAGTCATGAGGTGACCTCACGGGAAGCTGGCTGCCTGCTGGCTCTATATAAGTAAAGCAGGCACCGCGGTAGCCAGTGCTTGGGTGACTCACACGTCGCGATGTGATTCGTTTTAATAGTCATGAGGTGACCTCACGGGAAGCTGGCTGCCTGCTGGCTCTATATAAGTAAAGCAGGCACCGCGCCAGCCAGTGCTTGGGTAACTCACACGTCGCGATGTGATTCGTTTTAATAGTCATGAGGTGACCTCACGGGAAGCTGGCTGCCTGCTAGCTCTATATAAGGAAAGCAGGCACCGCGCCAGCCAGTGCTTAGGCGACTCACACGTCGCGATGAGACTCTTATGTAGATTTTAAATTTCATACAATTCTGCTTTACTTCTAGCATCACACTTAACTCAAGCAATCGCTTTTCGCTGCACTATGTCCTCAGCCTTAATGTCTAATGAAATTATTGTCCCCAAAAGTGCAAAAGTTTATATGCACTTGCCCATATATGCAGACACGTGCATGTAAATGTGTATAACGGTATATTCGTATAACTAAATAAAAATCAAAAGAATTTCACTGCTCGTTTATTTTTAATTAACGTTAAAAGCATTCCCCGAATTGCCACGAGGACCATTTCAACCGAAATAACGGTAATCAAACCAAGTGAGCCAAAAATGTTTAACGTAGAATGCATTCACGTAAATAGATATGTATATATGTATACATATAATACGTTATGAACTGAATTAACTATGCTAATATATTTTATTTTTTATAAATGAAGGAATACAGCAGACTAACTCGAAATATTTATGAATTTTTGAATCTACTTTTAGCATAAAAAAAATCGAAATTTGTATCAAAAATCTTATTCATTCTTTGTTTTAATATTATATACGACAAATATATCTATATGAGAAGGTCGCGTAAAATTTTCAAGCTGGGCGGTCCCGCTGACTTTGAAAGCAGAACGCGTTTAAGGTTTTCGGAGCCGATTTCACTAACATAAGTTTAAAAATTCTTACAAATACCCCCACATCCCATATCTGAAACTATTTGCGTGTAAACTTCAAATTTTCGTAGATAATTTTCAAATATATGTAACAGACATTCGATATACTTTTAATGCAAAAAACTAAGCTTTTTGAAATTCACAAGTGAATATAACTCCTAAAGGCGTTTTGTGACATTCTGAATAATCGATAATAGCAGTTCGATCTTTTATCGTTTATATCCACTTATCCACTTTTACGGTTTATCGCAAATTTCTTTATTATTTTTGTATTTTTGTAATATATATTTTATATTGTATTTTTCTTTATTTTCTTTATTAAAAAATATTTGCGCAAAAATGTTTTAATTTCGTGTATGCCACCGGTGTCATTTTTTTGTTTTGAAATATTAATAATAAAAAATTTTATAGCATAGATTTTTGTTAGCATATGCAGTTTTTATAAAATGCCAAAAACAATTTTAATTTTGAAATATTTTTCACAAAAGTGTATTAAAATAGCAAGCAGAGTTGGCTTTTCGCTTTTCTGTCGTAAATTGTAGACTAAGAAAACTTAAGAAAAATAAACATTTTAATATTTTTTTCTATATATTTGTTCGTTGGGTAACGCCGGCATTTAACAAAAAATAAATATTTTACTACTTTCGGCTTGCTAATTGTTTTTAATGCCCTATTCGAGGTAATTATCAAGTCTTAACTCTTAAAACACAGACACGTTTCGAGTTCAAAACCACCAAATTATTTTATTAATTAATTATTTATGTGAACTGACAGATATTTGTGTATGTGTATGTTTGCTTACTTTGCTCTCAATGCCAACTGTCTGTCGCTGGGACAGACAAACTTATTTCCGCTTGTGTTGTTGTGGCTTTGAAAATCCATTTCCTGCAGTGTAAATAAGCAACGGCGACGACAGTGTAAATAACTGACAGTCTGCTGGTGTGTTGGCAGCGCTGAGAAATAGTACTTTTGGGTATTGTGTTTGTTGTTCGGTAGCAATACGGTTAACTGTTGTCAGTTAAAACCTCAACTTCAACGTGCTTCTTGTTATTGTTGTTGTTGTGCACGCTACTGCGTATGCTGCGTGCGGAATATTTCAATGCTTGTTGTTGTAATATTTCCAAGAAACTTTGTTACGGTATTTGCTGTTGTGTGGCATGCTAACGTTAGCGTTGTTGTTTTTTTTTTTGTTATTGTTGTTGTTTTTGTGTTAGTTTCGCCTTGACAATACACACAATATTTCGATATTCACAAGTGGTTGTCGTGCAAGCACACACAGCGTGGCTAGTGTTCACATATACAGTTATATGTATTGCATACTTTTCGGCGCAGCTACAGCTGGTGCATGCTAAAAGCACATAATTACAATCAAAATGCATAAACTAATGCGTATTTAACACATAATAAAAAATAATAATTAACATTTAAATATTTGCACACTTTCCAAATTTTTATTTTTCACAAATTTTCTTTAACTCTCATGCGGTTTAATCGCTTTCACGCCGTAGTTTAATTAAAATATACACAAACTAAGATTTCTAAAGCCATTTCCAACACACATTCTTTATCACTTTTGCCGAATTGGTTTTTTCTTTCATACACTTTCTCACAGTTTTGCGTGCTTTGGCGCCTGCGATACGCCCTCTTCAGTCGACGGCAATGTACTGAGTGCCTAACCAAACAATCGGCGTCTGGAGTGCTGCCAGTCTGAGCCGCCGACGATACACTCGCCTGTTGCACAGTCGAACGCACTTGAACGCAACAAAAAAAAAACACAAACAAAAAAAACAACGAAACAAAGCATATCGCAAGGCAACAATAACACGAAGTATTCGTTGTAATGTAACACCATCGCCTTAATGCCGAAAACCCCACTACGTTTGCAAATGTATATATACATAAATATGTATATGTATGTATAATAATATGTGCGCGTGTGTGAAAGTGTGCGTGCGTTATCAACCCCACAATGCTAAATCCGCTATGCATACACACTCACGTATGTGTACGCTTGCATGCCTGTTCGGCCGTGAGGGCACAGCATGTTCGTGTCTGCAACGAAAATGGCTAACAGGAGGCAGAGATAACAGGAAAAAACAATAAGGCGTGTTCACTGTGTAATGTAGAGAATATAAGTATGTAAATATGATAATTGCATTAAAAAAAATACTTAAAATTAATACAAAATATTAAAAAAAAAATACCATAAAATATACTTAAAATAAAAAATAAAAAATTTAAAAAAATATTAAATATAAAAAAAATTAAAATTTAATTAAAAAATATTTAAATAAAATTAAAAATTAATAAGGTAAAAAAATAATTATTTCTGTGAAAAAATTATAGTTTGAATAAAAATAAAAGAAAAGATATAAACTTAAATATAAAAATTATTTAGTTCATACGAATATTAAATTAAAAAGATATTTTAGTTAGCAAATTATTAAAAAAATATAATAAATATTAAATATAATGTTAAATTAAATTAAAGCGTTATATCGATATGTGAAGTTCAGAAACACTCTTATATGTCGAAAGTAGAATGAATGTTAATAATATTATCCGAATATTTGAAGTTGATCCGGCAAATAGTTTCGGATATATCTGCGTATTTGTAAAATTAACTTATTATAATCGGCTCCCAAAACTTTACACCCGTTCCTCTCGAAATGTTGTTTACAGCGTCGGTGATGAAATTTTCTTCGAAATGCACTTTCTAAGATATATAATATTTTCCGGTAATGATCGAATTATTAACATTTTAGTTAATAATTTCGAATTTTCTTAGCCACTATGATATTATATGTAATTTTTTTCACAAAAAACGACTTTTTTTGGATAACCGCGATTTTGTCATGAATAAAAATTTTGACTTATCCTTCGATCATTACCTGTGTTAATCTATAGTAATAATACTTTATTTTTTTTTTTTTTTTTTTGAATTTGTAGAAAGTTTTAAGCAGAAAAATCAACAATTTACGAAGGCCGTCCCTACAGTACTCGGCTACGTGATCAAAGAAATACGAAATTTTTCCAAATTAAGCACCGATTATTAAAGTACATAGCCTTTTTATAAAATTCACGAAAAAACTGTGAATACCCCCATTGTTTAAGTAGTAGGTCTTAAAGTAATACGGCTTAACGTCCTTGTCATGTCATGTACCTGTTTCACACAACTGACCGCCACGCGTTTGAACTCTGTGAATACTCCCTACGATGCAAGTCTCCCTAAAAGCTGCCAATATAATAATTTCAAGGCATACCGCGTGCACGCTTAGCTTGTTAAAGGCGCCTTAGCACTTTCTAAATGCTTCGCCAGTTGATTACTCAGCTGCATAGCGCGAAAGGGGTGTCTACAAAAACAAGCGCATACTCGCTGTCACAAATTTGATTGAGAGTTTGACGACCAGCCTATATAGAGATATAGAGGGTAGTTTTTAAGAGTACACACAGGCATTTACATATGTATATAAGAGTATATACATACATTTGTACAACAATAATAATCGTAAATGCTGTTATCGCTAACAATGAAAGTACAGCAACTTACCCCAAAATAAACGTTGCCAAAAGTCGCCGTTATTGGGTTATAAATGAACTTGGCACTCAACTTCGTGCACTTTTCGATGACTTTACTAACAGTTTACCAGTTCCTTGGGGAAATTTATTTGTAACAAAATGTTGAGGGCAACAACACGATCACCTTTCGTGAGACCGATTTGTTGTTGATTATATTGTGAACTAATTTGTGAGCCTAAATTTAAAAAATATGTTGATGTATACGCTCAAATAATTGAAAAAAAAAAATTTCTTAGGCAGAGAAAAAAACAATTAATTCCAGAAATACTTTCAGGTGTAGCAAAACTCTATATTGAACTAGAAAAAACGTAAACATTGGCTGCACAGAAGTTCTTATACCCTTCATAGGGGTAAGGTAAAAATCTTTATCTTGATAGTACATACAAGGATTTGATTTTTACCGAACAGCCAAGTCAACAACCTTTGTTTACATTTTATAGGGTCAATGACCCTTTGTTTACATTACGAGGTCAATGACCCTTTTGTTTACATTTAGCCAAGTCCACAACCTATATTTAAATTTAGCCAAGTCAACAACCTATATTTAAATTTAGCGAAGTCCACAACCTATGTTTACATTTAGTCAAGTCAACAACCTTTGTTTACATTTTATGCGGTCAATGACCCTTTGTTTACATTTTGAGGTCAATGACCCTTTTGTTTACATTTTACTGAGGTCAGTGACCCCTTTGTTTACATTATGAGGTCAATGAACCTTTTGTTTACATTTAGCCAAGTCCACAACCTATGTTTACATTTAGCCAGGTCCACAACCTATATTTAAATTTAGCGAAGTCCACAACCTATGTTTACATTTAGTCAAGTCAACAACCTTTGTTTACATTTTATGGGGTCAATGGCCCTTTGTTTACATTTTGAGGTCAATGAACCTTTTGTTTATATTTTATGAGGTCAGTGACCCCTTTGTTTACATTTTATGAGGTCAATGACCCTTATGTTTACATTTAGCCAAGTCCACAACCTATATTTAAATTTAGCGAAGTCCACAACCTATGTTTACATTTAGTCAAGTCAACAACCTTTGTTTACATTTTATGGGGTGAATGACCCTTTGTTTACATTTTGAGGTCAATGACCCTTTTGTTTACATTTTGCTGAGGTCAGTGACCCCTTTGTTTACATTTTATGAGGTCAATGACCCTTTTGTTTACATTTAGCCAAGTCAACAACCTATATTTAAATTTAGCGAAGTCCACAACCTTTGTTTACATTTAGCCAAATCCACAACCTTTGTTTACATTTAGTCAAGTCAACAACCTTTGTTTACATTTTATGGGGTCAATGGCCCTTTGTTTACATTTTGAGGTCAATGAACCTTTTGTTTATATTTTATGAGGTCAGTGACCCCTTTGTTTACATTTTATGAGGTCAATGACCCTTATGTTTACATTTAGCCAAGTCCACAACCTATATTTAAATTTAGCGAAGTCCACAACCTATGTTTACATTTAGTCAAGTCAACAACCTTTGTTTACATTTTATGGGGTGAATGACCCTTTGTTTACATTTTGAGGTCAATGACCCTTTTGTTTACATTTTGCTGAGGTCAGTGACCCCTTTGTTTACATTTTATGAGGTCAATGACCCTTTTGTTTACATTTAGCCAAGTCAACAACCTATATTTAAATTTAGCGAAGTCCACAACCTTTGTTTACATTTAGCCAAATCCACAACCTTTGTTTACATTTAATGGGGATATCCAATATTCTACGTTCATTTAATTTTGCTAAGATATCTTACATATTGAGCGTTATAGGTATGTTCTGTGAGTTTCATCTCACAGATGAAACCGGATGTACCAGTTATCTGTCGGCTTGAACAGTTATAGTCAGACTTTGGCAATTTTTAAACCTGAGTTAGCATTCATTAAAAGCACTACTTGTGTAAAGTTTAATTTCGATATATTAATTGTGTTTTAAATGGTTTTAGCCCAGAGCTGCCTCTAATTAGTGCGATGCATTGCACCAAATTACAGTTTATGTCTTAATTTGCGGCTTAGTTATGGCTCTCTATAGATTTTTGCGTAATTACGTTTTGGGGGCGGGGCAGTAGTCCGATTACGCCCATTTACAATACCGAACTTCTTATGGTACCAAGGAACACGTGTAACAAGTTTCAGCAAGTCTTATTCAAGTTACAGCTTGCCTAGATAGACGGACGGACGGACAAATGGACAGACACTCACCCGGATTTCAACTCGTTTCGTCATCCTGATCATTTATATACATATATGTAAGCCAATATCTATCACGATTAGTTTTAGCTGATACAAACAACCGTTAGGTGAATAAAACTACAATATTATACTCTATAGCAACATGTTTTTTTTTGTGTTCAAAATATATTCTATAATAATTACAGTAGTTGAAAAAATTAAAGAAATTAAATATTCTGCAAATAATAAATTTTTTTGCATTAAACTTTGTGCATAGTTGTTTTTTAATGAAATTTTTTTTTGTTCAAAATATATTCTAAAATAATTGCAATAGTTGAGAAAGTTAAAGAATTTAAATATGCTGCAAATAAGAAATTTGTTTGCATTAAACTTTGCGCATATTCCGATTTTTTATACTTTTATAAATCGATTGCTAATTCGATCTTCGCGATTCTCGTGCTTTCTTTCCATAAATACACATTTTGACAGCACTTTCGTATATACATATGTTCATATGTATGTACATGCGCGTGCATTTAGATAAAAAATAATTTATTTAGCATGAATCATTGTCTTTCTGATTTATTAGTCCCATAAGCTCATCACTTTGTACTGGTATTTACTGTTGATTATCTTGCCACAGCGCCTTGGCTGCACACCAGCTGCGCCATTATTGTGTTCACTTCATTTTTATGTAGGTTTGTTTCCATTTGTTGTTTTTGCACAATTTTTACATTATTCATATTTCACCACGTGCATATGAGTGTCTATTACAGCAGTTAGACAGCCAATTTATGAGAACGCGTTAGCACAGCAAACGTTCAACTACGAGACAACAGCAAACAAAACCACATAACGAAAACTTTGCGTACATACATAACTATATATGTAGAATATATGTATGTACACTGAGAAATTAGTATGGAATAGTCTGAAAACCACTATATATAATATTACTATTTATTGTTATTCAAAAAACTTCAGTTAACTGTAATTATCAACGGGTGTAGATGGATTATAGAAAAACAGTCGTAAGCTTCAAAAAGCTTACACTTAAAAGCTTTTACTGCAGAGTACACGATCCTAAAAGTTCAATCTTTTATAACGGTAAAATGTTTTGTCAATATTACCGTATTTGTAAGCCATTTTTATTGAAAAGTTTGTAGATTTTTCGCTAAGAATTATATAAATGGTATAACGCGATAAATTGATCTACAAAAAGATGAAAGACCAGTCTTCCATATTAATAAAAATTGCTTATAGTCAGCCTATAAATAAGGTTGTTGTAGCGATTACTTAAACCTTACCTGAAGGTGAGTTGTTATTTACTCTCATCAATGGGCATCGACTGTTTCGACAGATTTTGCCCATATCTGTGTTAGCTGACTCGTAAGAAGTTAGAGAACACGCATTTTTTAGATGAGTGGTGCAAAAAACCTGTTTTTCGCTTTTAATGCGCCTTGAAGATGAATGCAGGTTGCCTCAGTTTCGTCCTTAGCCCTAGTGTGCAATTTTTTATAGTCATATTTCAATTAATAGTCATATATCGATAGTTTATACCTTTAAAAACAACATACTAAAATTTCAAATCGATTTTTCAAAAAGTTTTTGAATGACAGCCATTTGAAGTGTAGCCGTTCAATTCAATCATCAAAAAAACTTTTTAAATGCATTTTTCTCAAAACAGCATTTTTCAAATTTGCTTGAGTGATCACTCGGTGACAAATGATGCGATCACTGCGAAATTTTTTTTATGTAGTATGGTATACATCTGTAAATAGTTCTTAAAACAATAAATTTTCTGATCTAATCTGACCAAAACTCGAACTTGGCCAGGCCCACAACGACCAAAAATTTGTTTATAATTCAAATTTTTTTTTTAACCTGTGTAAATGTACTCTAAAAATCTAAAACAATCGATACAGTAGTTTTTTTAATTGCCAAAAATCGATGTTTTTAGGTTGTCACACTAGGTGTGCCCCTTAAAGTATGCTATGAAGTTGAAATGGTGTTTTCGCTGACTCCGTATAAATGTTTATACCTCGAACAGGGTATATTAAGTTTGCCACGAAGTTTAAAACATCCAGACGAAAACGTCGGAGATCTTATAAAATATATATAATATTAATGGCCAGCATGGCGAGCTGAGCCGATTTAGCCATGTTCATCTGTCTTACTGTATATATGGTATATACGAGAACTAGTCCCTCATTTTGCGCACGTCGTTTTCTCTCCAAGAAGCTGCTCATTTGTCGGAACTGCCGATATCGGACTACTATAGCATATGGCTGTCATATAAACTGAACGATCAAATTCAAGTTTTTATATGAACAATTTTTTTTGTTGCCATAAACTTATCTTCACAAAATTCGGCATGGATAATTGTGGTTGTTGTTGTAGCGGCAGAATTCTGAATAATTGTCAAAGGCAAAGGTAAAATATCCAAACAAGTTCTGAAATTATCATCTACAGCATAACATACATATGTATATGTAGCAGTCATACACACTGACCAGGGTTGCTAATTTTTTAATTCAAAAACTTGTACCTGAAAATATTACTTTTTGATTTGAGTGAACTCGAAAAAATTTTAATTCTAAAGCAAATTATTTTTTTATTTTTAATTATGTGCTTAAGATCGAAATTTTTATTTCTTTATTTTTCAATCCGTAAAATGGTATTAAAAATTAAAAATATTAAATTTTTTATTATTTTCTAATCCGGTATGTGGGATTAAATATTTTTTTATTTTCTAATCCGGTATTTGGGATTACAAAATAAAGAAAATTTTTATTTAAATGTTAATTCATTTATTTTTTTAATGCATTACTTGCAACTCTGACACTGACCAGTCAAAAAATAAAGTTCTTGTCTGGAAACTTGTAAAGGAAAAGAAACAATAAAACTACAGAATTTTTTAAACTTATTTATTATATTTTTGTGGTATGCAAATGCTCAATTTAAATTTTTTTTAAATATTTAAATATTTTGTATTGTTAATTTTTTATTCATACAATTTTTGGTAAAGCCATTATTGGCGCACAACGAGCTCTATTTAGAAATCCTGTTTTTAACCTGTTTTTTTACAAATGTCTTTTCATGTTTGCTTCTATGTATGGTTTTAAGCTTATCATTATAGATTTTTATTAAGTTTATATTTTTACTATATTTTTATAATATTTTATGCTTGTTGTTCCTCCATTTGCATTTTGGCCGAATACTTTACTTAACGCTTAGTATTACTTTAATTTAGTTTTTATTAATTAAAAATTTATCACGCAACTAATGCTAGAATACAACTGCAACGCGACTACATATAACTGTAATTTTCATTTACTCTCTTCTTGTATTTCTTCATACAACTTGCTTTTCTATACTACTTTCTATTTGTCCTTGCTCCGCTATACATATTTAGTACACGAAAATAAATTTCATTTACACTAAAATAAATGCACACAATACACACTCATAACTTATGCATACATATATGCATGTGTAATTTGATGTGAAATTAATTGAATTTCATCATGAGACGTACTTTTCCTATATTTTTGTACACACACACATAAAAATTAGGACTAGCTGCTTATGACTCAATTAGCATAAGGCTGCATAAATTCTGAAATTCTGCGGTTATTGCGATAAACTTAAACCTCATTGTAGAATTTACCGTTAAACAGCATTACATAAAAAAAAATAATTAACTCAATCATCAACGGCACCACCTTGAACTTTTTGGTTGTCAGTCATTTACGTTGATGATGTCTTATATTTTTTTGTATAATTCAATTCATAACGACGATTGCTCATCTTATCCTAATTAGGAATTTTGCTAAACACAACATTAGTGGGCATATAGTAAATTTGTATAGAATATTGTTAATGCAAGTTTTCGCACCACACTCAACGCTTTCAGCGCTTCCAACGCAATGCCAAAATAGTTCAATCATATTCACTACGGCTTCTCTTTTTACGCTTTCCACGCTCTTCTAAACAAAACTATAACTACCACCCCCCAAACTGCACTCTGTTTTTTCAACTACTGCACTACCACCTAATCCTTTGCTATCGGTTTCTTCACTTTTTTCACATGCTTCTTATGCAAACGCTTGTGGTAACTTTGCGCCAATGAGTTAACAATCGAAATTATGAAGTAGCAAACCATGCAGATGACGAACGTTTCAAACACCTTTGACAGCAAGTTACCCGACTCGGCCGCCGGTTGACGTTCACGATGCAAATGTTTCTTCTGATTGTTAAGGAAGCCCTTAAACGGCTCCTGCAGTTTTTTACCCAATATGGGCAGTTTGCCCAGCAAATCGACTGCACGTTCAATAAGCACTTCATTGAAAGCAATGATTACGAATACTTTTTGTATGTGCATTTTGATAATGGCCTTGCCAATGAGCGTAGCACCGAAGAAAGTCCAGAATGGCACCAAAAAGTGGCCACATGTAATGCCGGCCAAGTCAAATAGCGGATTGGGAATCTGCATGTCAATAGAAAAAATAAATTATATTGATATTTGTTTCGTCAGTTATGTATTTTCGATTTTTTCTATCTTCATTAACTTACACTTGCACATGCCAAAATGCCCAAGAAGCCAACACGTTCCACAACGCGTTCCATAAATAATTTGCCCTTATCCATTAAGCTCAAATTCTTTTGATTACGTTTGGCCTTCAAAGCCTCGAATTCAGCCAACTCCTCGGCATCGTCGGGATCATAGCCAGACAGGCGTGCAGCCTTTGCCATGAAATAAGGTGGCAGTTCGCCTAAAGCAGTGCCGGCACCCCACAGAAACGCTTCCATGCGTACTTTACTCATAATCATCCATAGATTTGGCACTTTCTTTGCATATGGCTCATCCGGGCAGATAATACTAAATAATTACTGTTAAACAAATGCTAATACAATACAACTCACATTACTTACTCATCGGGATATGGTGGTCGCGGAAAATTCAACGAGTTGCATTCGTATGCAGCTAGCGTAACACTAGCTATATGTGGTCCCAAATACAACAAAAACGTATGCAAACCTGTGCCCAGACCTACAGAGGAGAGTACACCCAAACCGGTCCAGTAGATGAAGAACCAAGTGTTGCGGCGTACCACATCCAATACCAGCTGATGTGGACCCGGTAAATAATAGAAAAAACTTAAGATAGTACCTAAAACTACCAGTGCCGCAAGCAAACCACGTTGCTGGAGTAAACTGTAAAAAATAAAAACATTTCAATAATTTAGCAATTTCTAACAATTTTGCGTGCTTACCGTTTGCACGAAGTCTGCGCTAAGGTCACTATCTCCAGGCCACAATACCGCACAGTTTGCACCGGTCGCCGCCACAGCACTAGCGTCTCACGCTCCGCGCGTTCCTTCTCCTTTTGCAATTTCGTTTGCGATTTTTTGCGCATAAGCGCGGGTGCCGACACGGATGACGTGATGCTACCACTAGGCGTGGAGGCGCTGTTACTGGACCAGGGTACACCGCCATTTGACTTTCTATTGGCAGTTAACTGGTTGCCTGAGGCATTTGTTTTTTGCTTTACACTGTCTGCATTTTGTGTTTGCTGTTGTTGTTGTTGTTGCTTACGATTTCGGCTGGTAGGCGAATTCTTTTTCAAATGTTGTGACATTTAAAATTCTGTTGTCCAAAGGAATCAAGTGCTATAAAATAGTTATAGTGTGCTAGATGTTTACTTTAGCGGGCAATAAAGAGAGGCAAAAACTAATTCATAGAAAAAGAGAATGCATCAAGAGTGAGTTGTTATTCTTGTTGTTATTGTTGAAGTGGTTAAGTTGAAATAATGAATCGAGCTGTGTGGAAGAAATAAATTAAAAAACACGTTATTAAGCAGATATTACACAGTAAGTTACACATGCCGTAAAAAATTATAAGAAATAGATATCAAGAGATACTGAAAAGCGAGAAACAATGACTTTGACCCTCAAGCATTATGAATTCTAATTTTCGTCACTGATAAGGCAGTTATTACTGTAGTTTATCGCTAAATGTGGTCTGCCTTTACACTTTTATTTGTTTGACATGACTTTGCAATCAAATTATTCAAATTTAAATAATTTATTATTTTACGACAAAAGTTTCAGTCAGGCTGGTTACTGAACTTTGTTCAAAATACAAGACGTGGCTGTGTATGTAACATATGTGTGCATACATATACGCTTGACAGGCAATATATGTATAAATTAATAATTATTGTAATAAAATATTTTTAATAAACAATTTGTGTACTTAACTGCAAATGTATATTTGTGAACTGAATGTATTTCTGGAAATTTAAACACCTGGTAAACTTGTTTGAAATTTGGGTGCTGTGAACTATTTTTATTTGTATATGCTAATACAACCACCCATACCTTTACAAGACAAACATATAATACATACATATGTATATATAATTTTTATAAAACATATAGGTGCCCTATGTTTTAATACAAAAAATGCAACAGAAGCTATAAATATACAACGATATAGAACAATATCTTTTAGCTATATATGCTATTAAATTTTAAATAGTAAGCACAAAACTTGAGTATAACTCAAATAGGGAAAAATTATAACAAAATGGTGCCAAGCACCAAATAAATGAAGCAAATAAAAAAATTAACATGCGAACCGGCGCACCAATGAAATTAAACCACATAATATACTACGGTGCGAAGTGGAACAGTTTACATTCATATATGTATGTATGTAAGTCATATGCCTTTATTATGTATTATGTATAAAAAAAAAACATTATTCAAAAAAATATTCGTGTGAGCAACACAATATTTACAAACATTTTATAACAACGGCTTAATACCATTGCTACTTTACAAAAATTTAGCAAAAATTACATTTCGCAATTTTTTGTTTGGTTGTCCTCAAACACTGGCTTACACTACAGCACTATCAATAACATGGTAAAAATGCATATTATGCATTGGCACATATGACTGCATAAGACCGACACAGGTACAAAAGCACTTTGGAGTCAGAACACGCTGCCAAATTAGCTCAAACTGCACGGTCACGGTATTTTAAGGGCTGCAAATACTATACATTTATGGCAATGTATGTATGTAAATACACACACGCGTATTTTACCTGCTTTGTGTTTCGGAGCGTCACTTGGCAACTTAGCACCACCCAACTAATTCACGAACTGTAGTAAATTAATTTTGTAAATTGAAGAAGCGAAAAGCCTATAAAAATAAAAATGCTAGTTGCCTATTTGCGATAACTTACAAATGAGTGCACAACTACGACTGACTGTGATACCATGTAATACTAAGGGAAAATCAATTTTCCACCCTCACTGTCCTGTTTTTTTTGTGTGCGACTAGACTGCATTGGTGATCACAAAATGAACACGATTGTAAAGTCTCTATTAAAAAAAACTGCATAACCTTGAGTAAACAAAGTCACGTATTAAAAAATCGCTTTTTGAACCGTTTTACAAATTAACACTGGTGTAGCACATGACATGAAATTTACCTTATGGGTTTCTCGCACTTCCGTCTGTTCGAAATAGTTTTTTTTTCTTTGTTTGTGTAATTTCGCAAACTATATTGGCGTAATTTAAGCGATTTTTTAACTATAAATTCGCTGAATTTACTATGCAATTACATTTAGTTTACATTTATCCACTTCTTTATTATTTTAATCCGTAGTTAAGGATTAAAAAACAATCCACAACTCAAAACAAATTATTCATCAAATGAACAAACGATTAAATTGCCATCACCAATATTTGACTCCGAATAAAAATATTTCGAATGTCAGTCAGCAAGAATTTGAGCAAAAGAAGAAGGCTGACAGAAAATTTTTTTCGGACAGAGGCAAACAGCTGATATGACAGTTGCCTTTACAAAAGAAATTACAATAGTGTTGCCAAATTACTGGTAATATATGTGTCCAACCAATCGAAATGCGTTTTCGCTAACAAGCGAATATTTGAGAGTATCGAAATTATAAAAAATATATCGGTATAATATTTTATTGTTTAGAATAAAAGATATTAACTCAATAATCTCGTTGTTTGGGTTGTTTTGTAGGCATTATCAATATATTTTTTAATATTTCGATTATCTCGAGAATTAATATCACAGCAAGGCAACTTTCGGTTAAATCATACTTTAATTAGTAGACAGTTCTGTTAAAGTTTCTACGATTTAAAAGGCCGAGTTGAATGTGTATGATCGTTCATGCCTTTTTTACGCATGGGTTAGTGAGTTACAACACGTGCATTTATTAGGTTTCACGAAAATTCTCTCAATATATTTTAGTTTCGGGTAGTCGGCTTAAGATTTTTATCCAAACCAGCAAGCACATCATAAATCCATTTTAGTTGTTATATTTTATCCATTTAGACGCTTACCCAGTTGAAGCAATAAATGTATGCCTAATAATAAAACAAGTTTCGTAAAGGAATATCGCAATCACGATCTTCATTTATTTTATAACTCAAATATTAAAAATAATTCATTTACACACGTATTGCCTTAAATGATGAACAATTCCACCGTCCAGGGAAGAAAATAGTATAGATTTTTAAAAATTCGAATGGTGAAGATAATTATCATGAAAGGAAAGTATAAAATGTCAACAAGAAAACTTATAACTGAAAAAACAAAAAATTGCTGAAAGTACCAAACCCAAGGATAGTACCGCAAAAATAAAAGATAAATTGGATTATAATATTTATAACTAATATTTATAGCTACACAAATTATTTCATATACATAATATATATCCATTGTATATATTTTTAAATATATATATTATTATATTTAATAATTCTTTTAAATTTTTTGTTTGCTGATATTCATTTATTTTATCGTTCCCTTTTCGCCAAGATATTACTCAAACAATTTTTCCTCAATCAGCACAAAGTATTTAATTATTTTTTTTGTATTATTTAATTTTCATCATTGTAATTTTCTTCGTAATACAGCAACTCGATTAGTTTTTTCAAACGCCGCCATACATGCCTTCCCCCAAAATGTGAATGCTACTTAGTTTTTGCCATAAACGTTTTCATCGGAGTAGGCAATGTACAGGAAATAATCTTCTTCGTGATGTTCCTAAAAATATATAATACTCAATATTAAAACCATTCATACATATAAAACATTTGTATATATTTACCTGATATAGAGATCCCATAGTAGCCGATGTTGGTGGAATTACATTGTTAACGAAGAAGAACAATGCATCTTCGGGGCGCAAATGTATACGCTTGCGAATTAAGAAATAGAATTGACCAACTGTTAAGTCAGATGGAACCAAATACTTTTTCTTATCTAAATCACCAATGCGTGCCTTTGGCGCCTTCTCCACAATGACCTGTTAAGAAAAAATTAAAGTATGCTTAACATTTTTGCTAATATTTGTAAATTTTAACTATAATGTAAAACTTTTATTTCTCACACTCAAAAGTACTTACAAGCACAGAACAGTTTTCACCAAAAGTAGTGACTGTGAAAAGATCTACCTACAACAAGCACTAAATGAATACTGAACTACGATCTTGAAACATGAAAATTTCAAATAAGTCGTAAGACAAAAGAAAATATGAACATCCTTACATATAAGAACAGGTATACACAATTAATGAAGTGATCTGTAAATCACTCTCATTCTGCGTTTAAAGATTGATCTTTACCTGCTTGCACTGAAGGTAACAGAGTGGTTATAATCCGTACAAAGGAAAGTTAGCAAATTCTACAAGCGAAGGGAGATTAAACCAAGATTTCTTGTTAAATTAGACTGTGTGATCTCTACACAGTGTACATTTTGCTAAAATTTAATAGATTGTACTTTTAATAATTAAACTCTCACATGCTATGATCAACACCTGCAAACCTTGAAACAAACCATTTATTTAAGATTTGATGCATTGACGAAATACCCTTGTGCCCACAAAAAAATTCCTAAAACCGTATCAATAGATAGATCAATTTGTTGTTTTAAAAAATGTCAGTGCTTGTAATTCTCGTCAAACACAGACACTTAATTTTGCATTTCATTGAATAAGAGAAAAAGGCAAAAGAACGTTTCCGCGTTAAAGTTTTTTACAGTAAGATTATACTGCTAATACTACAGAGAACATATGGCTAAGAAACTTTGGAAATATAAATTTTTTCGGTTTCTTGTGAAATTCATATAAATTAATCACAACATGACTAACTACGTAAGTAAAATATTTGTAGTAATTTTCACATATTAGTTAGTACTTCAGTTAATAAAGCATATAAAGTACGAAATACGGAAAATGTAACATGTACAAAAAATGGCAAACATGTATAAAAGAAAATGTGAAAATATTTACGTATATGCCATAAACACATATGAAGAAGTCAAGCTATAAACACACGTATACCAAATAGTTAAATCTATATGCGCAGTTATAAGGCCGAATAGAATAAAAAAAAATATACAATACTAAACAAAAATCGACAGTTTAGTATATACACACAAATATGGTATATACTGATAAATATTCGCTCTAAAATGAGTAAACAAATAAGCTTTTTTCGGTCTGCACAGCAGAATTATGTGTTATGTTTTAGTGCGCATTGGCGTTTTGTCTTTTTTATTATGATACCTGTTTGGCCACTTTGTATGCAAACAAAAAAGTTAATAAGCTGATAATTTGAGAATTCAAAAATTTTTATAATGAAATGTTTTGTTGCCAATAACCTTTATAGGTACATTGTCTTGTTGCCAATATTTGGTTTCGACCTTGACACAACGTTTGGAAGCGCTTCAATTTATTTTGCATTTCTACTTGTATATTATACTCCACAAACATTATTTTTATGAGAGAATCAGTACAAGTTTTTATTGAAGTTGGTAACACTGCTACCGAAAACAGCAATACGAAACGAAAAACAAAAATACATATACATTTGTACTATTGTTGAAAATGTATGCATATAATACTCAATGCGTACACAAAATTGTTGCTGTAAAAGAATATAAAGGCAACAGAAAAATATACTTGTTCACAACTAAACGTTTATATATTATCATAAATTTTTTAAGAATCTATTTTCTATGACGCAATTTTTTATTGCATTTTACCCCCCGCCCCTACTTGGCTATTTTCGTAACAAAGAAAACCCCATACTCCGTTCACAATCACACTTATGTATGGATATTACTTTCTAAGTTTGTATGGAATCATTACCAACGAGTATATTATAAAATTGCATACAAATGTAATGAAAATTTTTCATTGTACTTACTGGTACACGGTCTGGGTACTTCCTACGTATTTTGTCACCTTCAGCACGTCGCTTCTCAAATGCATGATCTTCCTTGTATTGAAACTTCATTTTTGTATTTTAATTCCTTTTTATATTACAGCAGTTAAATAAATTATATTTTCAAGTTCCAGACTTCACTAGATTTTCACAACTTACTTCTCGTCCAAGAGTATTTACGTTTATATTATGATTTGCTCTTTACTCGTTGAGTTTTCAATACAAAATGTCTTCTTCTGAAATCGACGACTAGAAGCTTAAAAAATAACAGTGACATCTACAGTAAAATTGTGACACAAATCAATAGTGTTGCATGTCGTTTGACAATAAAAAAAATAATGTGGACAACTTTGTCCAAACAAAACATTATTTGTTAAAAACATCAATTATTTATAATTGTAGATATCTCTAGAAGCAATAATTAATTATTCATAACATAGTGTGGTTAAAAATGTATTATTATGACATAAACTAAAAGTGATCATATTTCGGCACATGTCCAAAAATCAACTCTTCTCGATCGATCAGTGCTGCCGTATAAAATCATTCGTCGTAGTAAAATCAGCTGTCAATTAATACAAACATTTATTTTCCTTGTGGTAATTTACTCGTAGCAAATTTATTCATAAGTCATTGTATTTAAGGAATAATTTTAAAGAAACATGACGAGCCAATCCACCGGGATACAGCAACTTCTGGCTGCTGAGAAAAAAGCAGCAGAAAAGGTTACCGAAGCTAGGAAACGTAAGTATAGACGTATATATTCTCCTAAAAACAATTTCGGTTACCTCGCTGCCTACATAAGCGGATGTTCTTATTAAGCGTTTGAGGTCATAATTAGAAAATATTTATAATTCGCTACACGACTAGGCAAGGCAAAGCGATTGAAGCAAGCGAAAGACGAGGCGGTTGAGGAGATTGAGAAATATCGTACGGAGCGCGAACGTATATTGAAGGAATATGAGGCAAAGGTGAGCTCCCCGTAGGAAATGTGGTATTCAAAAACATGATCAATAATGGACCCATTATTTTACAGTATATGGGGTCACGAGAAGGCATTGCTTTAAAAATTGACCTGGATACTCAGAATAAAATGGAAGAGCTAAAAAAGGCGGTGGATAATCGTAAGGATCTATTAATCAGTGATCTTTTAGATCTGGTTTACAACATCAAATCGGACGTACATAGAAATTATTCTAAGTAATAAATTAGCCGAACATCTTTAAAAGATAAGGCAATAAGAACCATGTAGTAGATATATCGATGATATTTTATGATGAAAATTTCAGTCGGAAAAACAAACGTTGTGCACATGCGAATTTAATGGTACATTTTATATGTAGTGTTATTGTTCTAAATCAAAAACTCGAATGTTCTAATTTTAATTGTCATCGTCTCATATATTTAAATCTGCGAAAATGAATAACTAAAGTTAGTTTAATTTTATTTAACAAATTATTAATATTCAACTAGTCAATATACACAACTTTACTAAATTTTTGAATAAAGTATATATTTGCACATAATATAAAATTTTGTTTAATTAGTTTTTATTTTCAATTATTGAATAATAAAGTTCAAATCTCAAAAAATCCTCTAATTTGGAAAACTACTATTTTAAATTTCAACGATCCGATAGCACAGTTTTTACTCGTTGTCATTGACGAAATTTTTTGCAGCGCTTTGAAGGGATCCTAAAATACGTGAAAGTTCACATAAGTTTAATTAAAATAATCTCCAAAAAACTTCTAGCATCATTAGCAAATTGTTAATTAAGTATTGCAAATCAGCTTTGCAATTAAAACATTAATTTTCTCTGCTAAAATATGGTAAGTTTAGAAGTTTGAGTTTTGCAATAATTTGCAGCAACTGTCGTCGACATAGAAAATGGCGTGGAAATTGTAGCGAATTGATTAGCAACAAGCATTTACAGATATTCAAAAATTAAACTAAAACAAACGCATAAACTATATATTAAATTTTAGTGAGTAATAAGTAATATAAATATAGTAAAGCGCTTGGCATTTCGCAAGTACGGTGGGCATTTGTGTGTGTATACTAAAAATTTCAATAACGCAGATGGCATTACTAAAGAGGGCTATTCGCCGCCGTTCCAACGCGTATATACCGGGTAATAGGTATAGGTATAGTATCTACTCCGCGCCTTTCATAAAAAAAAATCAAATGTGGTTTTAACCTTGATGGGGTTTACTCAGTGCACATTTGTATTAACGACTCGCTTTTACATACATTTCGACACTATTTTTGCATTTGGAGTATATCCTTTTTTTATATTTTATACCATTGTAGAAACTCAAAATTTTTCGGTTTGACTTATTTATTTATTTTTTCCAGGGTTCTAATGAACGAGAATCGCGTTCTTCAGAGTCACGTTCGGATGATCCACTAAATGACGGCATGGTGCCATCAAAAAAATCTCGCTCGGATTCGGGTAAGTGCACTATGTATATTATATGACGATTTGTATAGTTAATTCTTATTTTATTTATTTAATCATAATAAATGGTAACAAAGTATACTTGAAAGATACAAACATACGTTTGTGTGTTACGAAATTTCTACGAGGGTTTTGTATGTTACGGTTTGCTTGATTTTTTTTTTAATACCGACAAACATTTTCCAGTATGAATATGCTTGTGTTTATAGTATTGATTAACACATATTAATTTGTAAGCAGCGTAAAGCGTGTGGACTAAAACTAGTTAGGTAAAAAAAAACGTAAAAACTTAACATTAAAATATGAACATAAATTGACCGAATTTTTTAAAGCTTTAACAAAAATTCGTTCTGTATCACAATAACATACTTACACATCCTCACCAACCATCAATTGTATTTTACTAAATAATCGGTTTTGTTTTTTCTGTTCTGCTTAAGTAATTGCAGACTTTAACGCTTGTGATGTTCTCAGGGTCAGGTGAGACTTGCTCTTCTGCTTGCCGTGTAAGCTAGCGCCTATTGAAAAAAAAGTAAAAACACTGCAAGAGTTGAGAGAAAATAAAATATATTTAATAAAAACGCTTTAAATCCGTAAAAGGAAATCTGTCGACGATAATAGTTAAAAAAAACATGTTTAACTTTAAAGCAAAATCATACAAACATTTAGTTTTGAAAATGGTTGATACACTTTCAGAACGGCAACAATAACCTATAAAGCTGGTAATTTTGTTATAAAAAAGTATTTAACCCAAATTCAGTACATGGGCATATAATAATGCTACAACTGTGTAACGCATACGACAAACGCCCTTGTTGGTGCCAATTTATGGTCATCGCGTAAGACTGACGGTGTTGTGGTTTGGTTTATGGGTGGCGCCACCACGTTTATAGCCAACGTTTGATGTATGTTTTTTTTTTGTAAAGTTGCTGATGTTTTCGAACTAATGACGCATATTGATTCTCTCTTCTTCTTCTCTTTTCTTTTTTTAATTTCTTTTTGTAAGTATATTTTTTAGTTAAATTTTTCTGCCTCTGATTCCATATTGAACCGGTGCAGGTGCCATTCGCCTACAAACTGCAAAGCACAACCATTACATCGTTCTCCTGACTGCACCAATATCAACTTCTAAATCAAAACATTGAAACAACGTTGCATAAATATGTATATTTGGATTTTTTATGCAAATATTTAATACATTCTTAACTGGTATCCAAAGTTAGTTAGCTCTTTTTTACTTTGAGTAAATTTCCAAAAAAAAGTTTGTCCCATGGGATTCATTATAATTAAATAGAAACGAATATATTTTTAATGCGAACAACATTTTTGTTCTTTGTATATAATATACAATACAACTTTTCATTAACGTTATATTAGCGAAGTTTGTAAGGCGTGTAATTTATTTGGTAAAAATGTCAGCTGTAAGAATGTTGCAGTTAAGATATTGTTAGTAAAGTTATAAGTTCTATGTTTTGATTGGATAACGTCTTTTGTTTTTTTAAATACTTGTATGAAAGTAATTAAAAAGTCTTTCCGAAGCAAATATTTTTAATATGCATGCTTAGATACATTCTTAAATTTTATTGTTTTATAAAAAATTAATTTTCCTGGGAAAAGTGCAAAAAATTTGAATTCCTTAAATTTTACAAACAAACTGGTTGCATATACATAAATAATTATATGAACGTTTATACATATATCGCGGTGTTCTATTTTCTACACTCCTAACTTGCGCTTCTGGAAGATAAACGCGATAAATTACCCGTGTTCAAATAATTTGTTTTCACTATCGACAGAATTTAGTATAAAATAATTACATTTATAGTACATGAGTAAAAAAAAATCATAAATATCCCGAAATTCCTTAATTTTTTTTCACTATTGCTCTCTTATTATCTTTTCAGCGGATTTTATTTCTTTTTTTATTTTTTTCTCTTTTATTAAACGTGCCCTTGAAGTGATTCAAAACCACACTCACCCACTTCTCACAGTGACAATGTATAAATGTGTTCAATAAAAACGTTTAAGCCAATTGCGTTAGCGTCACCAAATGTTGGAGAGGGCAAGAGATTTTTGAGATGAAATAAGGTCGCTTCATTAATTCTATTCTATATTTCTGTACTAGTTAACTATATGGTACGCGGAAAGGGGATTTACGAGTGATAAAACTGAAGCAAGTTGTATATTTTATAAATATGTACACATACATATTTGAGATTTATTTAAAAAGTAACTAATGTACATAAAATTTATTACATTTACACATAATTATTAATTCTTAAAGTGTACGCTATGATAATTCTAAAAAAGTACATTAAATTGGCAATAATTTTGTACTTTTTTTTGTTGACAATTAAGTCCGTTGGTCCGTGTTGTTTTTTTTTTCAATTTTGACTTTGGCATGCGCGCACTTCAATTCTCTGACCGTAATAATTTAGCCCAATCACTAGTGCCATTCATTAATGCTTGTGTTATATTGTATGTATGTTTGTATGTATTTTTCATCAGCTTTTTGTGTCATTATGGGCATTTAATATACCTAGCATAGCCGCATATCCAAGCCTTAGTTCAATTTATGCATTAACCAGGGTATATTTGCGTAAATCCCCGTTCCGTGCATCTTTCTTATTACATGTTTCATATACAAAAAAAAAGTCAATTTGTTCACGTATTTTGGATTTATACAGACTACTACGTATTTTATTTTAATTTTTTTAATGTTTGGGTGCTTTTTTTCTTTCATTCTTACATTTTGCAGCTTTTCTCAAAAATAAACCAAAAATATGACATACAAAGAATGAAATGTCTTAAGTCGCCAAAAATAATTAATTAACGCGTGCCACATTGCGTATGAAAAGTATGCGTTAAACAAATGAAAAACTGCTACTACTAGCCTGATAATTGTAAGTTTTACAACTTTTCTGCGTACAACAACAAAATATCAAACAACAAAAAAACATTAGTATGAATGCATGTGAATGAGAAACAAATTAAAAAAAAAAACTACTTTACTCAAAAAGTAGAATATACAATAAGTAACCAAATAACAACACCTGTTGGCGTAAATTGCGGTGTCGTTGGCTAAACAAAAACAAACAAAAAAATCCAAAGTGGTTTTAACGCTCAAATAATAGCAACAACCAAAACTCGATTGACTGTTATGAAAGTTGCAGCGAAAGTGAAACTTAAAACCGCACTCAACGTATGCACTACGCTCAATAAAGCTGATACGCGCACGCGCGCGTCCAGAGAACCACGCTTAAGAAGCTTGAAAACGTGTTGTTTATTAATGTTTTTTCTTTTTGTCTTTATCTTTCTTGCAGGCGTCGAATTATCTTTTGTTTCCATTCCAAAAAAAAATTTCAATATGGTATGTGAGCCAACAAGTGAATGTAATGCGCTACGTTATTATAGTTTTATTATATGACTTAACGTAAATAATGCTAAAAAAAAGAACTAAATTAATATTGTTGTTGCCAAAATGAGATACCATAAACGAAGATTAAGGGAATCAGATTTTTAAATATTTATGAAATGAAATGCTGCCGAACTAGAGCTATTCAATCATGATTAAATTATATACAGGTTGTGTTACTGCGAAGCATGCTTCTTATTACGAAAATTAAAATTTCATCAATGTCAAAAAATGTTTTTCTCATGAATTTCTTATTTATATATTGAGAATTTTGCAATAGTATGTAATTTTTGTTTATCATTAAAAATTATAGGTACAGTTGTAAAACCAATTTACATCATATTTATTTAAATATTAAATTTATTGTGCAAACAGTAATTTTTTTAATAACCACCGACGTGTTATCAGCGCACATGCCATATGGCTCACTTATTGGCACATATATCGTTAACAAAGAACAACAGACTCTATACGATCGATTGAATGACTCTTGTGATTTTTCCAACCACAAAATAAGAAAAAGTGTTCTGCGCGCTTTCACCCCTCACAAAATTCTCTCAACAGCTGGAACAACACATTACTTGTTGCTCTACTTACCAACAAACGTTTTGTTGGGTAAACTTATTTGTTCGCTATTAATTAGTATTCCTAATATTCTAGGCAAGTCCTCGGAACCGAAAATTCCATACATTTCGCAGCCAATTTATGATCTGAAACAGACAGGCGATGTGAAATTCGGTCCTGGCACACGTTCCGCTCTACTTGGCCTATTGGGTGGTGCACTACCAAAACTCAGTTCCGATCAACATGACACGGTTAGTAAGGCTAAGAAATATGCCATGGAGCAAAGTATTAAAATGGTATTAATGAAGCAAACATTGGCGCACCAGCAGCAAGTAAGTGTTTGATTGTGTGATTGAAGTGACTATACACAACAATTAAAATGATTGACCAATGCGTATTTTTTTTTTTTTACAGCAACTGGCATCACAACGTACACAAGTGCAGCGTCAGCAGGCACTCGCTCTCATGTGCAGGTAAGCGTAAATGACACTAAATTATGCAAATTGTTTGTTTGTCAAACTTTGATGTGATTCCTGGTAAAAGCATAATTGCTTGGTGAACTGGTAATTTTACTGATACAACAATCCGCTCGAGTTAATGAGCGTTTGTCGCATTAAAATCGCCGCATGTGCCTACCATAAATAGCTGATAAGATCTGAGTTTTTTAATTTCTTCCTTTTAAATGTATAAATTTTTCCATAATTACTAACATATTCCTATTTGGCAGAGTATATGTCGGCAGTATTTCATTTGAGCTAAAAGAGGATACCATACGCGCTGCTTTTCTGCCTTTTGGTCCAATAAAATCGATTAACATGTCTTGGGATCCCATCACTCAGAAGCACAAAGGTTTCGCCTTCGTTGAATATGAAATTCCTGAAGGTGCACAATTAGCGCTGGAACAAATGAATGGCGCCTTAATGGGTGGTCGTAACATTAAGGTGGGTCGTCCCAGCAATATGCCACAAGCCCAGCAAGTAATTGACGAGATACAAGAGGAGGCAAAAAGTTTTAATCGCATTTATGTTGCCTCCATACATCCGGATTTATCCGAAGAAGATATCAAAAGTGTTTTTGAGGCATTTGGTCCAATTTTATATTGCAAGTTGGCGCAGGGCACATCATTGCATACACACAAAGGATATGGTTTCATTGAGTACGCCAACAAACAGGCAATGGATGAAGCTATTGCCAGCATGAATTTGTTCGACTTGGGCGGCCAACTACTGAGGTATATTGCTCATGCTAACACCATAAAGATATAAAATATTTTAATTTTCTGTTTTTTTTTTTTTAAATTGCAGAGTGGGCCGTTCGATCACACCGCCTAATGCTTTGGTATGCGCTTCAACAAATTCGACAATGCCCACAGCCGCTGCTGTTGCTGCCGCTGCCGCTACCGCTAAGATACAGGCACTTGATGCAGTCGCCAGCAACGCCGTGCTTGGCCTTTCTGCAGCTACTCCCGCGCTGGGTATTTCACCATTAGCTGCGGCGGCTAAGGTTGGCGCATTGCCAATCGCTGCTGCCAGTGCATTACATCCACCAGGGCTTGCCGTACCTGCTGCTACTGTCGGTACCGCTGCATTCCTACCCGCTGGCGTCTTCCAAGCGCCAGCAGCACTACCACCAAATCTATTGGGTGCCGCACCTGGTATACCAAATGTGACCACTGCTGCTGCACCAGTTGTTGTTACACAAGCCGCACTACTAGCAACACCAACTATGGGCGCTCCTACAATGGCTGCAATCGGTAATCTTGGTGCTGGTACAGTATTGGGTGCTGAAGCCGCCCAACAAGCAGCAGCTGCCGCAGCCGCGGCAGTAAGTGCAAATGCCGCAGCCGCCGTGGCTGCCGCGAATAATGTGACAGCAATGCATAATTTACAATCTGCCAATTCAGAGCAACTGAAAAAGGCGCACGAGAAGGCACAGCAGGAGGAATTGCAAAAGAAATTAATGGATGAGGGTGAAACGCAGACGCTACAGCAGCAGGAGAATATGTCGATTAAGGGCCAGAGCGCACGGCAACTGGTTATGCAGCGGCTAATGCGACCACAAGAGTCACGTGTGATCATACTGCGTAACATGGTCGGTCCAGAGGATGTAGACGAAACACTGCAAGAGGAGATACAAGAAGAATGCACAAAGTTCGGCACTGTAAGCCGTGTGATAATTTTCAATGAAAAACAAACGGAGAACGAAGATGATGAAGAAGCCGAAATAATTGTTAAAATATTTGTAGAGTTTTCAAGTGCTATTGAAGCAATGCGTGGACGTGATGCTTTACACGGACGCTTCTTTGGTGGACGCCGCGTCGTTGCTGAGCTATATGATCAATCACTTTTTGATCATGGTGATCTCTCGGGTTAAAAATATAAATTTCGGTGAAATGAGAAAGAGAAAAGTGTGCCCAAAAATATTGGTAAAATATAAAAAACATCAAGTTGCAAATGTATATGGTTTTGTAGCAAATCGATCATTGCTTTCATTCTTAATTAAGGAGACCGCTTTTTAAACGTTTCTCCGTTTTGTATGCACTAATTGTTTACAGCTAAAGTTTTCTTCGACATTACCATTTCCAGTTCCCCCTAAACCCTTTGACCGTTGACGATGTAATGAATGTATTCGCGTGTAAAATGCCGTTATGTTAAGTAAAGAGGAAATATTTTAATTTCTGTAAAATTACTAATAAATATGTTAAGTATTTAATCCATAGCGCATTATTTTTAATTATTATTGTTGATACGACTTGTTATTGCTTCTGAGTCCAGTGATCTAGTAGATGTCGTTTTAAGTCGGGTATGTTTTTTGCCACAAACTTGCACTGATTACATTCCAGTGGAGAGTCATATAATTGTTGCACTATTTCTTTGTTAAGTCGTTGGATCCGATCTCCTGCTTTTATCAGCGCATACGCATCTATTTGCAAAAAATTATTATTGGAGGAAATTACAAAAAATCAAAAATATGCTAACAACCTTGATAGTATAGGAACAATTTTGTGTTGAAACTAGCCCAGTGCTTCTTGGTTTTAAGACAGTCTGATACGAAATCTTTGGAGATTACATGTAAATGTAAACGTTGCATGCTAGGCTGTGCATGAAATCCAATTTTGAAATCATCTAATTGGCAACGCTTCGCCTCAATCACATTTTGTGCAAGCAGAAATAGTTCCTCTAGCAATGGTAAGTGGCTTTTATTTAGCTGTGAAATTTGTTTTAAAAAAAGTATTAAATAGAAAAAATTAATAATATAAATAAAATAATTTACATGAAAAATATCCGGTATGTCGGCTTTTGGCAGTACAAGATAATGATGCTTTGCTTTGGGATACTTGTCGTGTATCACTACAGCATCTTCTGATGATATTATAAGATTCTTAGGATCTTTAATGGTATATAAAAGGCCAGCAGTCCAACCTTTGCCGACTGAGCTTGTCATTTTAATTTGTGTGTCTGCATTTAGTTTTTTTTTTTTAATTTATTGTTTACCTCATTGACAGCTGTTTTCCGTTTAAGTAAATTTCCCTGGCTAAGTTTACAACCTAAATAAATCTAATTTTTTTTTCTCAAATGCACTAAAAAATATTAATCAGTATAAGTTAAATAACTACTTAAATAATAATTATGATAATACTTTTCTATACAAATAAATAATTACATGAAATGTGCGAAATTATGCATTAACCAATTGAAATATATTGTATCAGATGTCAATAGTGGCAATGCCATCTTCGGGGAAATTTTGTTTAAATAAAAATCTGGCAACCTTAAATATATACTGGGAAAATTTGTAGGAAAGATAGTTGGCAACACCTTAGTTGACAGCAAATTTTAAAGTTCTTTTTCTCCGTGGTTCCTGCTCTTAAAGATGGCACCAACTGTAAGTGTTCCGTAATATCTGAAAATATTACATTAATCGTATATATAAAAGTGAAATAATATTAAATTAATGCTTCATATAAGTTTCTTTAAAAGAAAATAATAATTCTTATAAGAAAATATAAAGGATGTTCAAAGAAAAGTTCGATTAAATTTTGATATTGAAGTAAAAGATGTGCGTTACATTTATATGATAATAAACTTAATATACGTTATTCACATTTGACTATGTTACTAAATAGGAGTTTTATTGTTTAACTACAGGCTAAAACCAACAAAGGTGATAAATCCGCTGCCAAGCCAGCCGAAAAGAAGGCTGCACCCGCAGCAGCTACCGCTGCTAAGGGCAAAGTTGAAAAGCCGAAGGCTGAAGCTAAGCCTGCAGCGGCTGCTGCCAAAAATGTGAAGAAGGCTCCCGAGGCCGCCAAGGAAGTGAAGGCTACTGCCAAACCCACTGCTGCAAAGCCGGCACCCGCCAAGGATGCCAAGAAGGCAGCACCAGCTGCGGCTGCTCCCAAGAAAGATGCTAAGGCTGCTCCCGCTAAGGAAGCAAAGAAAGCAGCACCTGCTGCAGCTAAGCCAGCCGCAGCTGCACCTGCCAAAAAAGCTGAGCCTGCCAAAGCCGCTGTGCCAGCTGCCGCACCAGCTGAGAAGCCAAAGGCTCCAGTTGTGAAGGCTGCCAAGCCACAACGCAAATCGGTATCAGCTGCTGCTACCGGCGCTGGCAAAGTAACCAAGAAGAATGTGTTGCGCGGCAAGGGACTGAAGAAGAAGAAGGTGTCTCTTCGTTTTGGAATCGATTGCACCAACATTGCTGAAGATAACATCATGGATGTTGCCGATTTTGTAAGTACTTTCTTTGCGTACGCCCAGAGAGAGTTGCCGCAATTTGGTAAACAATATTTGTCTACTAAATTCTAGTTTATAAGATTTATATATTAAGTAAGCGCTCCCACAACTTATTCGTCATCGATGCTGCAACTTCGAATGTTTCGGTGATAGCTCCAATTGTGGTAGAATGACTTCCATAACAATTAAACTGCTGTGCACAGGCTTCTAGCCAATCGCAGTAGTCTAACAATTATGGATACACTATTGTGCTGTTGCGATTTAGTTTCTTGTTATTTCTGGCTCTATACGAGCCTATCATATCTATCGAGATGATCCTTATTTCCCCAACATTTTGGGGAGTTGCTGTTCGAAACGGGACTCTGGGTGCTGCACAACGGGGTAGCCTCTGATCGCCAGAACCAGGTCTGGCCAGTGGTGCAACCGGCTGTGAACAGTGCCAAGTCGTACTATGTCTACCGCCCAGTGGTGGGTCCCGGGCTGTGGTACATGCACCCGCATGTATACAGGCCAAAACCCATAGTGCGCCCTGCGTTTGCGTTCGAAATTTCGTTCGTTGCAGGCTTCTAAGCGGATCAAATGTATTGTCGCAGGAAGCTAAATTGCAACAGTATTGTTAAATGCAAAACAATCTACTCTTTAATATATGCAGGGTGCACAGGTAAATATTTAGTTCATTTCAAATTTATATATTTTGAATACCTAATTTTAGGTGTTTGCCACGTCCGATTTGTCGTCAGAGAGTGAAGCTTCGGCCTTGTCGCTCTGAAGGCAGTGTACTCAGTGGCAAAGTAAACACACACTCTGCTATTTTTGGTTGCAAAATGACTCGCTTGGTTTTGTAGCTTAACACTGCAAGAGACACCTCAGCTTATTTGACTAAAATTATTAATTTCATAAACGAATGCCAATTTACTACGATTTATATCTTTAAATCTTCAGGAAAAATACATTAAAGCCCGTCTAAAAGTCAACGGCAAAGTGAACAACCTTGGCAACAATGTCACATTCGAGCGCTTAAAGATGAAATTGTACGTGAACTCGGACGTGCACTTCTCCAAGGCCTACCTGAAGTACTTGACCAAGCGTTACTTGAAGAAGAACAGTTTACGTGATTGGATCCGTGTCGTGTCCAACGATAAGGACTCGTATGAACTCCGTTACTTCAGAATCAGCTCCAACGATGATGAAGATGAGGATGCCGAGTAAACTTGTTTTTATAATATTTTTAACTAAAACAAAAAAATACAAGTGAAGCTGTTGAATTAGAACTTTTTGCATTTAAAAGATGTTGGAAGTTCTGCAACAGTAGAAATATATATTGGGAGCACAAATTGATTTTGTGTGAAAAAATAATTATTGCATTTTAATTGCATTTTTGGAGGTGGCTATAGCAAAGAGGCTATAGTATATAATGATTCATAAAATCGGTTGGGATATTTGGGATCCTATCAGTAAGAACTAAAAATGTTAGCATACTTTCAGGACTTCCAACGCAATAAGTTATAAAATTCAAAATGCTTAAAATTGCAATAATCTGTTTTAATCGTTAAATAAAAAAACAATATATACATATATATTTACTTATTTATTTGATACATTGGTTAAATTATTAGGTTCTGCATTTCTAAACGTATTTAATCATCTCCGACACCCTGTACTCCCGTTAGAGACATCTCTGTCATTTTATGCACGCAGTCACATGTTTTTCAACGAATTTTGACGGAAATGGCATAGTTTGAACATATTGCCTAGCGGACGTAAACAAATGCCATTGAACGCACCCGAACACATTTGTTATGGCATTTTTTCGCTGTTGCATTGTTGTTGTTAATTTTGTTTGTTTTTGTCCGAAGTTGTCGCTGTAAAAAGTAAACAGAAAACAGCCGAAGTCGAGCAAGCAAGTGCCGACGACGTCGCTGTCTCTATCGCTGCTGCTTCTTATATATGCGTACTATTTGCTGTATATATGAAGGGGTATTGCATAGGGCATTGTTGTTTTGCGCCGTTAGTTCATTACTTTTTAATCTCTTTTACCTAATACATCTTTATATATATAAGTATAGCCACAGAATGCTGTGACTGCGACGTCGACTGCGTTGGGTTATTGGCGTTTCTGACATTGCTTTTGTTGTTTGCTTCTATCGCACGAATTCCGACGTTCGGCGCTAAAAAGCTAAAACGCGTCGTGTTGTCGTTGTCATCAGAGGTATACTCGAGCCACTAGCAGCACACAAAATAGACAAAAATTTAAATTTTCTTCACCTCGTGGAAAAGTTAGCGATCAAAAGTGTTTGTGCAAATAGACAAAATGCGGAATTAATACTCTCTTATTATGAAATAAATATTAAATGAACGCATAAATTGTGTTTAGTGAACAAACAAGCAAATTGTCAACGAGTAATTGTGAAAAGGACGTATGAAAAACTAACTACATATGAAAATACAAACATACATAAGTATGTTTATAGTGCATAAATACATTTAAGTGTATAAATTGAAAGTTCCAAAGGGCATTTCATAGTGGTAAGTGGAAATCAACTTTTAATATTATTAATACATATTTCATAAACGATGAGTTTAACTGGTCCACACCGATACCTACTGTCAATTGTTCTGTCCTCATTGTCCGCTTCCCCTAGTTGTGATTACACCAAAGAACTTGGAAGAACGTTCATTTACGTTCTGTGATTACACAACAACATAGCGCATTGCGCTTCCATGTGGACGCAAATACGCAATACGGACAAGTTCCAATAGGAGTGCGAGTAAGCAGAATATCTATGTATTTTATATGTTTATATATTTATATACATGTATATACGAATGTTTATAACAAATGTGCTATAGCAGGGTGGGGGGCACAAAAGTTGGTGCATGCTAGTAGCTAGTTGTGGCTGCTACAGCGTGAAATATTGTTACATAAATATGTTGATATGTATGAAATTAATATTTGCGCATATATGTACATATATTCGTACAAATATATATATTTACATACATACAAATATATGTTTTCATACTCACATACTTATATTGTATTTGTTGCAGGTAAGCGCAAACTAAAGTCTATAGTGAATACTTTTAATTAAATACTACCGTATACATATGTACATACATAAATGTAGTGCATACATACATACATACTGTATATTTTTCCTTTCGATTTGTGCGTTAATTGAAAGATTTGCGGTGATATATGTACATATGTATGTATGTGTGTCATAAATTGTAAAGCACATACATAAAATACCATATACATCTGTATGTGTGTTTATATGTAAGTGTGTAAAGATGTCGCGAGAGTTAAGATTTTTTCCATAAAGTTCATTGTTGTCAACCTTTTCTAGGCTGTTAGTAGGTTAAGGCGTCTAATAGATCATTAGAGTTGCTACGATTTTGCTTTAGCATATGTTTTGCAAACAAAAATTTCCGTGCTTTCTCATTTTCATTTGTACATACATACATACACAGTTATGTATAAAACGTTGAATTCACATAAACGACCAACTATAGTGCAAATAACAGATCAGGGTTACCTGCTGAGTGTTTTTAAATATATTTTTAAAAATAGTTTTTATTTTAGATATTTTTTATATATTTTAGATAATTTTTAAATATAATTTTTTTGTTTTAATTTAAAAATATTACTTTTTGTACAATTTTTTGTAATTTTTGTTTAATTATGAAATAATTTTTTTAAATATATTTTTAAATATTTTTTAGTATGATTAAGTGCTTTTTTCATTTAAAATTATTTTTCTTTATAATATTTCAAATATTTTGAAATCATTTTGTTTATTATAGTATGTACATATCTATGTATAAATTTTTTTGAATGTTTTTTTTTTAATCTATATATATTTTAACGCTTTTTAAATTACTTTTAATTATTTTTAATAAACACTTAAAATATTTTTTTTATATATATATATTTTAACGCTTTTTAAATTACTTTTAATTATTTTTAATAAACACTTAAAATATTTTTTTTAAAATATATTTTAAATATTTATTTTCAATAAACGTTTATGTATATTTTATATACTACTGATTTAAGTTAAATATTTTTTCAAATTTGGAAATATTTTTTTATAAGTTCATAGTATATTGTGAAATAATATTGTTTATATTTTTTCAAATAATTTTTGTTTAGGTATTTTTTATATATTTTTTTTTAATTTATAATTTTCTTAAAGTTTTTTTTATTAATTATTTTAATTTGTATTGTTTTTTATTTATTTTTTTTTGTATTTAAATTTTCTTAAAGTTTTTTTATTAATTATTTTAATTTGTATTGTTTTTTATTTGTATTTTTTTTATATATTTTTTTTGTATTTAAATTTTTTTTATATATATTTTTTTAAAATATTTTTTTCGTTATTTATTTAAAATATTTTTTTATTTTTTTAAATATTTTTTTTTTTTATTTATTTTTATTTATATAATTTTTTTTTCTATTTTTATTATTTTAGTTATTTTTTTTATTTTAATATTTATTTTTTTTTATATGTTTTTTTATATATTTTTTTTATATATTTTTTTTTTTTATTTATTATATAATTTTTTTTCTGTTTTTTTATAAATATATTCTTTTTCGGTTTATTTTTTTAAATTTTTTTTCTATTATTTTAATTTTGAAATTTTCATATACAACATATTTTGTATTTCTTACTGTTCTATTTTTTGTTTGCAAATTTTTTTATAAAATCTGAAAATCGCTTATTTTGAATTACACCTTAAAGTATGTATCAGAGCACTGATTAGGTAATTACAAAACGAAAGAATGCGAAGGGTCAATGTGGTAGATTAACCTCTCAGAGTAACCAAAAATAGTCCCGTTCTTTTTTTTCATGACGTCACAACATATAATTTTTTTCATTCAAATTCACTCCAGAAAAATAACGCAACGTAACTGTCATAAACTCGAATCCAATAATATACGATTTTGTATTCACGTGTTACGTTAAGATATATTTTACAACGCCGTAACGTCTATAGAACTTCGTATACATACATTCAATTACTTAAAACGCCCACGTTTATGCTAAAAAATTCTCAATTTCAAAAAATTTTGTCTAACTTTCGAGTTAATTTTGTTTTGGCGTTAGAATATGCAAGCTCTTAAAGCTTAATTTAAGAACGGCAAAGGCTCGTGACAGGCGCCGGTGTGTGTAGGTGTAATTATATAATTTATAAACTATTTTTTTATTATATGTTATACATCTTTTATTTTCATGCTAACAGTTTTTTTTATCATAATAATAATAATTCATAAATCATAAATGAATTCGGAGTAATGCCGATTGTATATGTGTATATACAAATATACATGTATGTTTGTATGTATATACGTACATGTATTTATCTAACTATGTATGCCTGTATATTCGCTTTCAGTTATTGTTTGCTTTCGTATATCTGAAGCATAGCAAATAATTTATATTATTTATTAACACATTCAGACATCAATCAATCTGTAATAGTTACTTAATACCCATGAATATAATAGGTTAATGATAGTAATTTGTATAAACAAAGTACATATATACATACATATATGTACATATGTATGTATTTTTATTTAATATGTATTATAAATTTTAAAAGAAAACAGGGCGCTATGCATATTTTGTCAAATTGTTATTGATATTAACAATTACTTTTGTACATATCTACAAGTACATACAAGTTCATACATTATGTATGATTAAACTGTGTATATTAAAAAAATATATATTGTATATTTTATTCGATTGCGCGATCGATCGGCTGTGCCGCATAAAAACGGCAAGTTTCACTAAAACAGTGCGGCCAAGTAATTTTTGACATATATGTAAATATGTATGTAAGCATGAATTCGTGACGAATGAGATCAAGTCGCAGTTCTATGCTAATTTTTGAAGGTTTTCTTCATTGACGTGAGGCTTTTTGTGCATTACATATGTATATGCATACATACAGACATATTTATTTAGTTATATATTATATATTTAAAGAGATAGATATTTGAATGTTCATTATTGATTGGCAAGAAAATATATAAAAGTATTCACATACTAAATATGTATGTATGTATGTACATATGTATGAGAGTAAAAAAAAATATAAAATAAATGAAGGTGTTGAACAGATGCTAAAAAGTTTACTGAGTTGTCTATTGCGCTAATTGTTATGCACTTAGTTCTTAAATATGTAAAAACTTTAGGGGCGTTCAATAAAATAATTATCAATGATTTCCAATAATTATTGATGATTGTCAAACTCTACTGATCAATACAAACAGAGTTAGATCGTAAAAATATTAGCGCTTGGCTGGATAAAATCCGGGTCAGTTCAGCTACCGTAGAATTAGA